AGGGGGGGGGAAGCAGCAGCAGCAGCTGCTGCAGCTGGAGGATGAGGAGGAAGAGGAGGGGGAGGAGGAGGAGGAGGAGCAGCAGCAGCAGCAGCTGCAGCAGCAGCAGCAGCAGAGGAGCAATAAGCGCCGCAGAGCAGCAGACACAGATCAGCCTGAAACGGAAGCTGCAGCTGCGCCAAAGAAAACAGCCACAGCAGCAACAACAGCAGCAACAGCAGCAGCAGCAGCAGCAACTGCTGGTAGTGCCCCTAGGAGGCCTAGAAGCAAGAGACAGAAGCAGCAGCAGCAGCAGCAAAGTGCTGCAGCAAACCCTAAAAGACAGAAGAGACTCAAGCGCCCGCTGCAGCACTCTCGAAGCAGCAGCAGCAGCAGCAGCAGCAGCGACGCAGCAACAGATGAAGAGATAGTCACCTGACCTTAAAAACGCAGCAGCAGCAGCAGTGCTGCGTCTGCTGCTGCTGCTGCAGCTGCTGCAGCTGCTGCAGCAGCAGCTCCGAACTTCATTGTTCACTTTGAGGTTTGTTTTTTGCTTTTCATTTATTTAAATTATTTTTTGTTTCTTGAATTTAATTTTATTAATTTCATTTCAATTCTTCGCCCGACATTAACTGCCAACAAAAAGTCCGGAAAGCCCAACGCAGCTAGCTAGCCAATTGGCTAGCTAGCTAGCTAGCCGGCTAGCTCGCCAATTGGCTAGCTAGCTAGCTAGCCAGCTAGCTCGCCAATTAGCTAGCTAGCTAGCTAGCCAATTAGTTAGCTGGCTAGCTAGCTGTATGGCTGGCTAGGCAGCTTCAGCTGGCTAGCTAGCCAGCTAGTTTAAGCAGGTAGCTAGCTTGCCAGCAGCTATCTAGCTCGTCATCAGCCAGCCAGCTAGCTAGCTAGCTAGCTAGCTAGCTAGCTAGCTGGGTAGCTGGCTAGCTAGCCAGGTAGCTAGCTAGCCAGACCTCGGGACAGCCAGCCAACTAGATAGATTAACTACACAGGCCACTAGTCCACGGATTAGCAGCAGCAACGACAGCGGAAGGCAGCAGCAGCAGCAGCAGCAGCGACGCCAAGGAGCAGCAGCAGCAAGAAGCAGCAGCGGCGAGAAGCAGCAGCAGCAGAATTAGTTTGTTTTGGTTAAATGAAATAAAGTGCGCGGCAAAGGCGCTCATAGCTAGCTAACCAGCTAGCTAGCTAGCTAGCTAGCTAGCCAGTTGCATAGCTAGCTCCTCAGGTAGCTCGTCAGTTGAGCAGCCAGCTAGCTAGCTGGCTAGCTAGCTAGCTAATTGGCTAGCTAGCTAGCTAGCTAGGCTGCAGGCAAGGACACCGGGAGGCTACGCCGTGGTGTCCGCGGAAGGAACCTTCCTGCTGCTGCTGTGCTGCTGCTGCTGCTGCTGCTGGCTCTGTTTTCGTTACTGCTGCTCCTGCTGCTGTTGCTGCTGCAGCAGATTTGGTAATGGGCAGGCCGGCAGGCTCCTTGCCTCGCCTTGCCGCCTGAAGCAGCCAGCTAGCTAGCTAGCTGGCTA